AGCAGATGTAGAAAGAGAGGAGAGAGATGAGTCAGTTAGTCCAGCTCCTTTATTGATATGTTTTGAGTGTGGATATACTCCTGTTGGTGTATTCTGTTGTCTAGTAGTGTACCTTCTTGATAAGAAAACAGATCAAGTATTGGAATGGAAGTTAACTGGTAATGATCAATATCGTAACAGAATAACCTTTCAAGTTGGTCAATACTATGATACTGTTACCTTAATCAGTCGTGCTACTTATCTTGAAGTGTGGGTTCAGCAACAAATGAGTCCTTCACTGAATGATCTCTGTGATAAGATATTATTTTCATTGCACAAAGGACTAGTCACTGTCACACAGTCACTTCATTACACTTACAAGTCAAAGCATATGTTTGGAGTACCATGTACATGCATTGGAGTACCTCATCCTGCTGTAATAGAGTATTGTTCAGAAGGAGCTAAGTGTACTAATGGTAACTTATTGAAACTTGGCGAGAAACATTTGTACTGGTCTAAAAAGGTAATTGAGAAGTTTATTGTTTGTTTACATTATTTGGCTATAGGTTGTTGATCTGAATACTGGAGCTCAAAAATCTAACAAAAGCTGGCAACCATCTTGTAATGTAGCTGCTACAAAAAATGAAGGTGAGTTTTATCATTCTGTCTATATTGATAAATGATATTCATATGCAGTTCTTCCAAAAAGTATCTTTCAAAGCTGCTTAGCTGATATTACTGATGCAATTTCATCAGATGTTACACATGTTGCTGTTGATCTTTGTACTGAATCTTTAATACCAACATCTTTAAATAATGACCTTGCATCACTTTTTGGTGTACCTAACTTCGACAAAGCTAACAGGATCACTAGCTACATTCACAAGCATATAATATCTAATTCTACAGCTGAAGCTACTGAATATCTCACCACTGTTTGTAATGTGTTGTATCAAAGAGATGACATGAGATTAAGAAACATTGCCGCTGATATTTGTAAGAAATTAGGCAAACCAGTTCCTAAAGGTATGAATTATAAATTTACAGGTAATATCATAATATTTTGTTAGGTAAGAAACAAAATAAATTTAAGAGAGTAGATACTGATGATGACAATACTTTAAGGCGAAGCCAATCACAAGATATGCAAGGTACCGTATATGTCACAATTAATTAATGTAGCATTTAATTGTTCAATCATGCAAATAGGAGAAATGTCAGTACATAAAAGATTAAAATTATCAGAGCTATCTGAAATGGATGACGATACACAATCTTCAAGCAATACTAGTAGTGTATTGGGACTTAAAAGACACAGTGAAGATGAAGCCTCTCAATCTATTTTAACAAATAAAAAACAAAGACTTTTGTCTGATGATGTTGATTCTCCACCTCCCTTTCCTCTTAATAAAGGATATGGTAAAAAATCAACTGGAAATAAACCACACAGAATAAAAACTGGACAGCCCTCTGGTAGTAATTAAAATTCTATTATTATTTTATTCAGATCATGCTATTTTTATCTCTGCAGATGAGGTTAGAAAAAGGAAACAAAATGAAGATCATGATGGTTCATCAAGAAGTACTAAAAGGTTTAAAATATCTGGTAATAATGAAATTACTGCAGAAACAACTATTGAACAGGAAAGTTCATTGTCTCATAATGCAGGTATTATGTCTATGGCAACTTTTCACACAAGATGTTTTCATGTTATAATAATTAATGTTTCATTACTTCATGCAGATCTCCTGTTGGAAAAGAAGCCACAAATGAGTGATCTTCTTAGGCTATTTCAAAGTTTTGATGCTTATTATATGATTATTGGGACTGCATTGAATGTTAAAGTGGATGACCTGTTATCCAATCCACAATCAACTACTAATAATCTGATTCAAGTATTCCAGAGATGGATAGAATTTGATAACGATGTGACTTGGAGGAATATTCTGCAAGTTTGTGAAGATTATCCTAATAAGTTTGGAAAAGTAAAATCTGATGTGCAACAATTTCTTTCATCAGATAGAGCTCGTATAAATTATCTTAAATAAGGTACATTGCCTTTTAACATGCAATTGTTATGTGCAATAGCTTTTATAAAAGACATAGCACAAGGTACATACACTTACAATCCTCTTCCTTCCTCTAGAAATCAACAAATAAACCTGGTTGTAAGAAATAATGTAAGCTACATATTATACATTTACATTAGCTTTATTTTCTCAAGTTTCATTTACAGGCAGTAAAAGATAAATTTTAATTTAATCCGTATTGTTTACACACTATCACTTATTATTACACTTTTGTATGTTTTAGTTATAAATCATAAAACCTTACAATTTTGACATTAAAAAATATTACATAGAAATTATTATAATTATAATAGTCATTTCACAAATCATTTCTTGAAGGAGGAATAATCTAAAACAAGAAGAAGATAAATACATTATGTCCTCTTAACCATCTCACCCTCTCCCTCTCTTCTCAAGATCCATTATTCTCTCTCTCCCTTACCTTCACTTGTTGTTACCTCCTCCTCCTCCTCCTCCTCCTGTTGTTGTTGTTGTTGTAGTATTGTTAGAGACAAACTGTATTGCTCTAAGTGATGGCTTCATTGGTGTATCCAATAAACACTTCATTGTATACCATTTACCTTGAAGCTACAATAAATACAATATAAATAAATTATAAAAATGCACTATGGAGGATCATGCACAGTCTTAATATTAAAAACTCACTTTCTCATTTTTCTCTATTTGTCCAGCAGCAAGATCAAGGAAAACCTGTCTCAGTTCTTGTTCCTTCCTTAGATCAAATTTTGCTAGTTCGTCGGATAAATCTCTACAAATCATCTCAAGATATTCTTTGGCATCTGAGCAGTTGCTGCTAGCTTGAACCCACTTCTCACTAATAGAATCATCAAGACCAATGTTCCTCCTTGAGGGTGACAAGCAATTACCACCATGAGCATTAGTAGTATCTGGTGTTGACTCATCTCTTGAATGACAGCTGCTAGTATTCCCTCCTCCTCCTCCTCCTCCTCTAGTACTGCTACCACTGATACTACTCACTCCACTGTCATCAAACACTTCATCTGCTACTCAACCAGTGACTCGGACATCATGACTACTGGGACTCTGTATAATAATATAAATATTAATTAATAATTAACACTTAATGTTTAGATAATACCATAACAGTATTTATGCATTATTCTATTATTAATATCTGACTAATTATTTATCAGTTATACACAAGGTACATGTATGTGTACACACATGAGGTGTGCATGTGCTTACTGAAGTAACTGCTTCATATATCATTATTTCTTCGTCCCAATACAAGAATCTCTCAACAGCTTCCTCTACTCTTGTCAATAAATCCTATTAATAATAAATCAATAATCTAACAAGAGGAGAGACAGAGAGAGAGAGAGTGCGGGAGGGGGGAGGGAGAGGGGGAGAGAGAGAGCTTACCCCTGCTGAGTGAATATAGTCAGCAATAGATTGAAGGTTCTGGACACAGAGAGCATCATCCCCATCAAAGGTACTCCGCTGTGTCTCTATCATCTCAGAGGTTCTAGCCAGATCACCTGATGATAGTTTAAGGTAAGTATCACAAGCTCTCCCTCTGCAATGTGACGGAACCAGTGAGACATTGTATCTACTAACAAGAAACATATCATCATTGATAAGCATTCTATTGCTGTAATATCATTAATTATATTTATTAAAATAGAAGCCAATACTTAACACGAATAATGCTTGATAAAAATGTAATAATAAATTATGCTTACATATGTAGCTCAAAAATTATTTGTTGGAACTCAGAAACAGCTCAAACTTTCTAAATACAAATGTAGCATAAAGACATCAATATGTATCAGAAAATGTAATAAAAGTGTTTGGTGATTTCAAAGCCATTTTTTTTAAATCCATGGGCCTTTGCTTTTTCAAAAATTGGCCAATTTTTAAAAAATGGTCTTAAACCGAGGGTGAAGCCCGAGGGTTTAAAATTTTGTAATCCCGACTAGGAGGTGTTAAACCTATATAAACAACAAATGCTATTATAGCTGTGCAGCCGCATTGTGAACCCACTGCTACATGTCATAGTGTGCAGGGGCATTACGCATTTCATAGAGCAGCAATGGAAGCTTGGACTACTGTTGGGTCAGTTTGGTGCAAGAAGAAGGCTGAAGAAGTGACTGAATGAAGCTAATCTCATGCTGATATCACCCTAAGACTGCTTTGACTGACTATGGGGCCAAACGCTCGGCCAAACTGTGATGATGACGCCGGTGATTCGGTGAAGATCACTCTAGTGGGCTATCCACAGTGTAGAAGAGCAAGAGGAAGGTCTTATTCAAGGAAGAAGAGCCCGCAGACTTTTCTATAACTGCTAGTATCAGTAATAAT